ACTAAATGGTGTAGGAATAAGCTCCCAAGTAAGTGCCAACCTCTGGATGTGGCCTGAGGCTACTACCGGTGTTGCTTTCTTCTCACTGAATATGAGTACCAGCAGCTTATGGTCAGTCTTCAGTTTAAATGATCTGCCATAAATAAAAATGATGCAACTTCCATACTCTGAAAATAATTGCTAATGCCTCCTTATGCAAATTAGAATATTACTTTTCTGACAACGACAATAAGCACGATACAAATCCCACTGGGCATTTATCTCCTGCTGGCATTTTATGAGCTAACGCAGCCCCTACCTCATATGGTGAGACATCACAGGAGAGTACTAACAGGTCTGGGTCAAAGTGGACCAAAATTCGAGACGATTTTAATGACTCCTTCACAGTATGAAATGCTGTCTCATGTGGCTTTTTCCAGGAGCATCTCTTATTCTTCTGAAGTAAGCTGCATAAAATAACGATGTGGTAGCTAGTTGTGGTAAAAACTTGCCATAGTAATACACCATTTGTCAAAAGGAGCATAATTCACTCACACTAGCAGGTGATGGAGCATTAGAAATAGCTTCCACTTTAGTGTCTGATGTCTTATATCATTCTGAGCTAATAAAATGACCCAAATATTCAAAGGAGTGTAACAATAACCTAAATTTTTCTCTCTTGAGATGCATTTCGGACTCTACCAATCTCCATAGTGCTTCAGATAAACAAGCAAAATGTTCTTCAGAACCACTTGTAATTAAATTATTATCCAAATAGACACAAACTCCTGGAATCCCATGTTTTAGTGTACCCATAACCCTTTCAAAATGGATGGGGCAGAAGAAATACCAAATGAAAGACAGTTAAGTAACCCTCTGTGTGTATTAATAGTGGTAAACTCACATGATTCCTCCTCAAGTTCCACTTTTTGGTAAGCATGGGATAAGTGTAACTTGGAGAAAGATTTCCCACCAGAGCGTGATCATCTATACAAGGGAGTAGATCTTTATCCAACTTAGCTGCTCAATTAATAGTGACCGTATAATCACCACATAATTCGAATGGTGCCATCTCCATTTGGCATGGGCACAATCGGCATAGCCCTATTGGAGAAACAAACGGATTCAATAATGTCTTCTTTGAGCAACCGATTTGGCTCAACTTCTATCTTTGACCGTAAGGCAAGTGGAACAGGACGTGCCTTGTGAATAAGAGGTGTGGTTTGAGGAATGACATGTATTTTGGCTTTCATCCCTAGTGCATTGCCAAGTCTCTCGTCAAAATCCTCATCAAAACAAGACAATACTTTTTTTAACGAGTGATTACTGAACATATGCTACCAGTCTAGTATCAAAACCATTAACCAGTTCCTACCCAGTAATGGTGGTCCTTTCATGACAATCAGAGGTAAGGTTATGGTCTGACCATTGTCCTCAACGGTAACGTCAGTGGCTCCTACTACTTTAATTGATTCACCTGTATACGTATGTAGTTTGACTGAGGAGAGTCGAAGAGACTTCCCTAAATCCTGTATTGAGCGATGCATATCTTCCCCCTTGACTGATACAGATGCTCCCGTATCCAATTCCATATTAATAAGGACACCATTAATTGCAAATTAGGTATGTTAAATGAAGAGTAATCGGGGTTTTTGTCTTCTCCTTCACAGTATTAGTTTTACCCTTCTCATCTGACTTCTAACCAATTTATTCTTACAGTAAACAGATGCCAGATGATCTTTCTTTTACAATAATCAAAATCATACTCTTTATTACAACAGTGAGTAGCTGGATGTTTTCCACCACAGCCTGGATCAGTTGAAGTCCTTCCAGCTGGAATCTTTGCTGGGTTCTTTTCATTGCTATTCCCCGTATGATTAACTGGTAGTGTCTTTGACGATCCTGTAGCTGTTTAGCATCTATAGCAGCAGCCTTTGCTCCCAAAGCAGTTTCCTAGGCAGACTGATCAGTCAAGCGAGTCTCTGACCGCTGTACTGCTTTGTCACTTATGCCACTACAATTTTATTTTGCAACATGTCCGGCAGAATGTCCTCTGGATACTGGTAGTGAGCTGCGATGCTTCTCAAAGCAGCAACAAATAGAGCTGCGCTCTCCCTTTCGCCCAGGGGATGGGTGTTTAACTCCAATTTTATTGTGATAGGAGATGGCTCTGGGTGAAAATGGGCCGTTACCATCTTGCCCAGAGCATGAAATGTATGATCTATTGCTTTCCTTGGGAAAGACAGAGTTTTAGCAAGGCAATATGTAAATGGACCAATATTTTTTAGCAAGATAACACGTTGTACATCCTCGTCATTTATCCTTTTGGCCACAAAGTAGTGCTGGAGACGCTCAGCATACGCAACCCAATCTTCTTGAGTGGCATTAAAAGTTGAAATAGACAAATGGAAAAAGCTGCCTTCGTTTTAACGAAGTAGAATCATGTAATCAAGTAGAATCATGTAAGGGACATAAAAAGTAAGATAGGTATTTACTCTAAAGCAATATTGACACAAAGATCGAAATATATATACATGCAAATCAAATGCTGTAACAAAAGAAGTCATTTTGAAGTTAAAGTGTAACTGCAGTGATTTTTTAGGGTATTTATTTTATGGTCTTAATATGATTGCCTGACCATAATAAGGATGTGTTCCAACTCCTATTGTCTAAAAAAATTTATTCACTGAGATATGAGCCTTCAAAAATGCACTTTTTGCTTCCTTTCAATTTACTTCCTGTCGGTGGGTGTGGCTAAACGTGACGTCATAAGAGGCAAAGATGCAGATAACTCCATTTCTTCATAGGGGGAAATGATCCTTTATTCTCATGCCTTGTAATGTAATAGCACTAATTTAAAGATTGGGATCATTAGTATTTATCATCCTAAGCATGCAACTGCAAGAAAAAAACTCAAAAGAAGCAAACAAGCAGATTTACCAGTGTGGTGTGGTAAGAGGCTTTGGTGGCTGTAGAGGTCCAACTCAGCTAAGATATTTATAATTAAAAGGGTGTGGGAAAAAGGATAAATAAGGTTATAATAGCATTGTTTTTGCTTCAAAAGTAATCTTTTGCCTAGGCAATGACCCCCAATGCTTAGGCCTGCAGCCGCATATGGTAAGAAGATTCACCAAAGTGTGGTATTATGACTTTTTCTTGCAGTTGCATGCTTAGGATAATGAAAACTAATGATCCCAATCTTTAAATAAGTGCTATTACATTTCAAGGCATGAGAATAAAGGATCATATCCCACTATAAAGAAATGGAATTATCTGCATCTTTGCCTCTTATGACGTCACATTTAACCACACCCACTGACAGGAAGTAAATTGAAAGGAAGCAAAAAGTGCATTTTTGAAGGCTCATATCTCAGTGAATAAATTTTTCTAGACAATAGGAGTTGGAACGCATCATTATTATGGTAAGGCAATCATATTAAGACCATAAAATAAATACCCTAAAAAATCACTGCAGTTACACTTTAAGGATCATGAATATAGCTAACTTTGCCATTCTAAAACTTTGTTTTGAGTCAGCATATTTGAAACTTGAGCCTATATATAATTATAAAGTAATTGTTAATCTGTGAAAATATATACCTCTGTTTACTTGTAAACCAATTACTAAAAACTTAATACCCTTCATCTACAGATTTTAAAACTTCTAAATTCATGCTGACAACTCTTGACTGTGAAAGAAAACAATTGTCGAATATCTTATTACATGCTTCTAACATTTTATGAGTTTGATGCATTCCTTCTTGGCAGTCATTTCTTAAATGTGATGTAATAACTCTGGAAGTACATGTTTTTGCTAAAATAATAAACTCATTACAGTAATCAGATAAACCTGCATGATTTTTGCTGGAGTTACGTTAAGTTTTGTCCAAAAAATTATATATACTTCATTTGCCTTAGGCACAATCCTAGTTTCACCATTGCTAATCCTTCTACATTCTTCTTCCCACAAATCAAGAATAGATTTCCACCCAAATGACACTTCCTGTAGTATGAACTCTTTTGTACGTCCTGATTTAGAAGGAAATAATAAAGCGTTGTTCATGTTCCTTAGCTACATCAAGTGAAAAGAAGTCAGTTATGGAAAGTGAATTCTGTTAATATGATTATATACTTGATGAGTGGGACATATCAGCCAGTAAATAATGTTTGGTACAGCAAATGGGCTTATTATGTCTGGTTGTACAGCGAATGTATCATCACTTTCTGTATAAAGGAACTACATTCACTAGGCTAGTTAGGTAATTGTGAAATATGTATATGCAAAAAGTAGCTTAACAATTAACAAGTTTAAACAAGATTGCAATCACAAAACGCAACAATACTAACTTTAATGTTAGTTTTTAGAGGTTCATAGTATATCAGTGACATACCGTTTGAAATTGAATGAAGACCAAAATGACCATGAGTTGCTTTCAGCACGAAGAGATTTGATGAAGCACCGTTGCATACCAGAAGTGTTGTGAGCCCATGTAGATGAATTAGATTGATGTTCCTAATTAGGGTATAAACGAAGGTAAATTTCTAACCTTCGAAGTTTAATTTTTATAAAACGAAGGTCAACCTTTGTTTGACTAAACCACACCCCACTTCCTGTTATAATAACAATGCTTTCAAAAAAACTTCTTTGAAAAGATAGGATTCTTACTTAACAATACCAAAGAATCCACTGTTTCAGGGCTTAAACATGCTCTCAACTTGCTCACAGTAAGACCAGCATTAGAAATTATGGTGACCGAGAGGGTCAACCCGTCAATGGGTCCGTTCACAGTCCGGGTAAGTTTCCCGGGCGGGTATCCGTCAGGAACTTGCCCGGGTGAAATTGCGGGTCCATTTAAATTAATTAACTGGAAGGAACAGACGCGTAATTAATTAATTCAAGTTAACTTTTCATAAGTAAAAATGCCTATTAATTCCATGGAATAGCAGTGTGAAAATTATAATAATTATATAGATTTTATAAATGACCAATTTTATATTTGGAACTGATACTTATAAAGATATTTGAAAGCAATTGAAGTACAGTGTGGTATAAAGAGAAGGTAATAGTCAAAGTACAAATAATTGCATTGTCCATATATTATATAATAGTTTGTCCTTGCTAAAACTAAAGTTAAAGGAGCTTGGACTCAAGAGACGTAAAAGTGACACAAACCCTTATTGAAATTGAATAAATGATTATTGAACAGTTATTAATAAGTGGTAATATAGACTGCCTTAATACTCAGTTGTGTTCTAAACTATTATCATCAAACTCATCCAGAACCTATAGATGAGGATTAATTGTTATTCATTTATCATAATACAGCACCTGTGTTGCACTAATCTTCGATACTACATCACCATGTGCATCACTTTTTAACAAATCAACCTCGTACATTGCAGAATCCTTTCTGAAGCCAACTCCTTTTGTATTAGGAGTCACTATCATTATGATATGACAGTAACTGATCTATGATGAAAAGTGTGATGAAGCTTTACCATTAGAGTGTGTTACCTGCACTGTGCTCTGAACTTTCTTTCCTACTTTACTACTTGTAGCCTTTGATACTCTCTTCTTCACCTTTGCCTGAATTTTATGCCCCCGCTCTACCAAATCTAAAAGAATAATAAAAATTGTAAAGACAATTTCGCTCAACTAATAATAAAAATGAAAACAAACGTTCAACAGTCAGAGAGACCATGATAATAATAATAAACAAAGGAAAGCAAACTGAACAACAACAATAATAATAATGAATGCTACCTTCAGCCTCCTCTAGTCTCGCTAGCCAGACCATTTCCCCAGCCTACAGTCATTGGCAATGACTGTAGGCTGGGGAATGGTCTGGCTAGCGAGACTAAAACTCCTCAACATCATCATCTTGGTTAACCAATTCAGTTGCCTTTGCAACAATACTTTCTCCTAAACTAACAATACTGAAAACGATGTCTCTTGTACCAGAGCTCTGGCTTGTATTGTGTTGTATGAGCATGATCATCACCTTGACCTTCACCTGCAACTGCCATTTTATAATAGCCACACATATTATTATATCACGTGACTCATAATATTTATTGAGCATAATCCGGAAGGACATCCGCACGGGAAGTCTTCACCCGGGCAGGTTCCGGACGGATACCCGCCCGGAAAACTTACACGGACCGTGAACGGACCCGATGATGGGTTGACCTTCTCGGCCACAATAGAAAATAGATTTTCTGCTGATGCTGAAGTAGCTGGAACTGACATTATTGACCTTGAAAGCTCAGCTAAATGGATAAAACGAGTATGGTTGTCTTTTTACCAGTTCAAGCAATTGGTTTTTCTTCCTGGGGTGTTTTCAAGCAAGTTTCAGTTTCTTCCTCAAGGTTGGAAAATCTAATGTTTTCTTCTGGGCCCAATAAAATATCTAAAGCTGAAGTAGCTGATGTAACTGCTATACATGCTGAAGAGTTAGAACGTGGACCAGTCCTGCTACAGGCCTGAATCATTACTGATAATTAAGCCTCGACCGAGGATTGGAGGCAATGTCCTGATCCAATATTGACGAATTAGCCAGGATTAATGCTGGTGCTAGGCCTGATCCAACAACAATTACGACATTCAATAATCCTCATTATGAGGTACTTCCTGTTACCGTGAATTAGTACCTAATTATTCTTCATTATTAATTGAAAATGATATGGAATTATTATTTGAGCCAAAAATAGATTTTAGCTAAACAAAAAATTAAAAAATCATGTAAAGAGCAAAAGAAAGAGTAAACAGATGTGTGTTACAAAATTAGTGAGATAAAAAATGGATGGCACATGTCAAAAAATTAAACTCAACAGGTAAACGTACGCTCCCATCACTGTTGCATCGCATTTTTAAAATAAAAATATCAGCATTGTTTTCTTCATTGTAATCTACCAATGCTTCTCAAGCAAGACACTTCATGTTCTGCAAGTTAAGACACCTAAAGAGCCATAAAATTAAGAAGGCACTAAAATTAATAAACTTATTTTACTGAGAAATTAATTTCCAAAAACCTCCAACATTAATGAACTCTCGGGTTCCATGTAGTAAAGCAAATCTTTCAAAGGTTCCTGGTCATAATGTAGCACAAATTCTACATAAGCAAAGGAGCTACATACCTTTCTTAGCCAGCATGATGAAGCAGATTTCTCTAAGGAGGCAAAGCAATTTGAGTAAAAGTTGAAGGCAGGTTCACAAAAACTTCAATGCCATTTGAAGTGAACTATAATGACAGATGATGATAATAAATTAAAACATGATTAAACTAACCTCAGTTAACAGGAGCTTTAAACAATGAAGATTCAGTTCATCACAACCTCAATAATGAATTTAGCTTTTCACATGAAAATAAATGAACCAAAGATTATTCTTGTCTTGAAACTTAGATAAGGTAACTATATAATGTATACAAGTGGCATTGGTGAATTAATAAGTATAAATTAAAGGGGCACCTAATACATTGATAATTTCCAGAACAATCTTCCACATCAGGTGTATCTTGAAATTCTAAAGAAAAGTAATAATTAAACACAATCAATAAACTATTTCAACAGACTTGTTACTATCATTCTCAAGTCTGTCAGTACAATATCTTCATTATCATGATCACTAACACATTCACCCTAATTAAAAATATAATTAGAATCACATGTAGTGCTCATCTTCTTTACTAGTGTCATGATTATTACCAGAAAGGTGTACTGGTTGTTTCACTGCTATGCTCAATACTAGAAAGTGAAAGGAGAATCCATAATGAAAGGTGTACTTCTAACAATAAGCAAGTAAACTTTAAGTCATTAATCTCTCAATAATAACCTAAATTTATTATAATGTAATTTTGTTCAGTTTATACCTGTTTCATAATTCCTCATAAACCCAGGTCTCTACCTTTGTGTCATATAGATTTTGTGTGCGAGATGTTGTCAACTTTAAGTAGAAGGTGTCAGTGGTTTTACATTCCAGTCATGTTCTACTCAATCTATTTAGCTTGATTGTGCATCTACAAGTACCTACTTTTTACTCAAAATCTCGTGTATCATACTGATGTATCACTGTATTATACTTAATGGTTGAAACTATAGCCTAAAAATACTATTACCTTTAATGTAGTCCACAGTACTCACATAACATCCAGTGATTTAGCCCTAGTGTATACAGCCAACAAGATTTTTCTGAAAGAGACAGATGAAGATAATTAAAAAAAACATGTTAGATAGTCCACGCGGAGCTGCCATCTTGAAAAGCATCGATCTGATTCAGTACTGATAACAGCCTGGACCAGTGCTGATGAACAGACATTACAATATTAGCCATGACTACATCAGGACTGAAATAGATACTGGTCCAGGCTAGAGCAACAGCCTCGATTCAGCAGTGATGGCCGTTGATGCTGGACCATTATAGAAGACTGGTCCAGGCCTGATACCCATCATTCATGGATCATGCATGGTAACTCTTGTGTGTGTACTTTGACTTGTTTCATCTTGAGTATTAGTAGTAGAAGCAGTGGGCAGGCGGGTAAGTCGTTCTTAAATCTCTCCTTTGACAGATGCTATTTCTTCACTATTCAGTTGGGTCTAAAACAGGAGCAATGACATCAAACTGTTTACATCCCAGTTGTCTAGCTTCCACCAAGTTTGGAGTTCTTGACAAATTTTTGCTTTAACTTGATGAATAGTTACAGAATCATCTGGTTGTGGCTGGACATTGATGTCAAGACCATAAATAATAGGTATTATGCAGGACAAGGAACTATTATGTTCGTATTGGAGAAAGGTTGTAGCCACCTGAAAAGGCTTCCGTATCTCCACAAGTTCTTACATATGAGCCAAATACTCAGATTTCAAATCCTGATATCTCAATTCTTTTGGTTACTGTATCATCAGAAAGGACTGCCAAAATATTCATAAAATTTCCAACGAGTACTACAAGATTGAATAAGCTTCTTTTTAGTCTACACCCATCTGTCTTTGACGTGCTTTCAGAGCTTCAGAAGCTAAGACAATAGAAATGAGTGACAAGCTTCTTTGCTTGAGCAATCATCGTTGACACTGATAACAAACTTGAGTTAATGCAGAGTTGTAAACAGTGGGCGGAGCTGCGTAAACTATTCATGTTCCTTTCTTCATTGAGTAATCTCATACACATCACCATATTGGAACCTTTGTCATGTACAATACAGTCTATCTTGTTACTGATACTAAATTCTTCAGTAACATAAACCAATTTGTGAGAGATATCAACTCCTGTGTGTCGTTGAAGAAAAGCAGATGTACACAACACTACTACTGAATATAGAGTCGAGTCTGTTGAAATGAAGTGAGCAGACACAGTGAGGTAAGCGTCATTTGCTATGCCTGTCCAGATGTCAGTAGTAAGGGAAACACTCTTGGCTTCTTTCTGTAGAACTTCTTTCAGCTTACTAATTGCAGGTTGGTGCTTTTGGTGAACTAGAGTGCTAAAATGTACAGCACTTGGTATCTTATATCCTGTTTCTAGAAACTGCAAAATGTTCAACAAATTTTTACCTTCAACTTGTGGAAGAGGACAAAAATCACTATATATCATCTCTGTAATGAGGTTAGCAATTTATTTTGACCTTTCCACTTAACATTTTTAATGCTATGCAAAGTCAAAGAAGGTACTTTGTTTCTTATCTTGATTGCTTGTAACCTAAACTAGGCCGTACCAGGAGATGTTTCTTGTAACCTAAACTAGGCCGTACCAGGAGATGTTTCTGAGGTTGGACGTTCCACCATGGTAAGACAAACGCTTGTCAGCTGGCAGACATAGTAGACACTTTTGCAGCGCCTCCCACTTTGATTAAGTGAAAGAACTGCCATACATCTGATCTACATTTCTTTATTTTTAGGGGAGGTTCTGACCCTGTAGAAACATCTTCGGAAGAGGCTGAAGAGCAAGAGGTAGTCGAGGAGCCAAGTGAGGAGCAAGTACTAAAAGCAGTAGCCATTTTACTATGAAGTCACATGTTTATTTTAAATATTAAAAATTGTTAACACAAATAGTAGTGCTTTATATCCCAGCAGACATCTGCTAAAACTGCCAGTGTCATGTAAAGTATATATACAATAGTCATATACAATGCATGCTAATAAAAAAGATATAAAGTATACTAGTGACATGGATCAAAGGAGCTGCGAGGTCTGCTTCTTGTATTACCAGACATGCCCACAGGTCTGCAGACATGTTGTTGTGAATAGCAGGCA